TAACAGGCATACCAAATTGGGAGGCCATTAAGGACCGATTACCCGAATGAACCAATTTGGAAGTTACCAAGATTTGATGGTGAGATATGAGGTGAATGCGGTGGGTAACTAGATATAGTTTGAACATCAAATCCAGGTATAACCCAATACATAGTAGGAACGTAGCATACTCTGGTAGGTTTAGTTCATAGATAAAATTGTCTAAGCCAGTATTCTTAAGATTATTAGTAGCTATATAAGGCAAAAACTTAACATCTAATAAAAAATACGAGGCAAGACCTCACCTAACACCGAAAAAAAAAAAAAAAATTAATATAGAATTTTATAATATAATTATAATTTTAGATTTGCAATTATCTGATAAAATACAATATACTGATCATACTAAATAACATCATGCTAATGCAAGTGCACAGTTGCATAGTATGCCTCTGCTAAATGCTTTTCTGAAATAGACTGTGTTCTTGAGAAATATCTAACTAATAAAATACTTTTCTGGCAAAGATATAAAATTGCGCAATCACTTTATTATTACTCTAAAATAAAAAATAATAATTTAACCAATAAGAAATCTAATAAAGAAGGATATAATAAGCAGCAAATTCACCTGACCTCTTTTCTAGATGATCTTTCTTTAAATGATATTGTTAAAATATATAAAGTTCAACAACGTAACCATATTCATAATAACTATATTATTGTTTTTTCTGATTATTCATATTTGTGTATATGCATGTTGCTAATTAATTGTAGATTAGTTTGTTGACATTTTTGAAATATATTGGCTATCGATAATACAGCATTTTTTCATATAACACTAATTTCTAAACGCTAGTATAAAAGTGAAAAAATGAGCGATTTAAATTTAGATGAACACCTTACTTAAATTCTCACCTAGTACAACTATATAAAGGTTATTTATCTTGCCCAAAACTTTTTTCTATGCACTATATTAACAAAATCTATGGTAATAATGTATTTAGTTCAGAAGTTCGTCATGCAGTTCAAAAAAAACATGATTATAAAGAAGTTTTTAATCTTGCTCAAAAGGCAGTTAGGTTTGCAGTTGAAAAAGATAGAGATTCTTTTTGTTATCTTAAGAAAAGCCTTAATAATTGGTTTGCTGAAGAACAGAAACTTTCCTATACAAATAATGATGAGATAAAAAATTCTAATCCTGATTAAGTTCAAAATCCAATTGAACAATGACAAAAAGGACAACCACCAACTAAGCAATTTAAAAGTAATGTTAAATTATTATAATCTAAAAGCAAAAATCTACTAGTAAAATTGTACAAAACAAATGTGGTAAATATGGAAGTCCTGAACATTATGCACTGACTTGTAAAAAGTAGAAAAGTGTGAAGAAAGTAAAGTTACAAATTATAGTAACAACTAATAATATTGAGCTATAAAAAGAAAAATTAGTGATTTAAAAAAAAACTATCCAACTCTTTCTGTAAATCACTTACACAACAAAACAAACTCTAAAAAACTTCAAAACAAAAATGACTATAACTTCTTGAAATACTAAGCAAACCTACTTCGGTGC